CAGCAGTCTGGCACTTTACAGCCGCAGCCGCCCCACTGTGGCACCAGGTGTTCCCAGAGGTTAAGTGCCTTGCCAAGGACACAACGACAGCAGACAGTGGGAGTCGGTGGAGAAGGTCCCGTGGTGGGCTCGAACCCTCGATTTTCAGGCTCAAAGGCCAATGCTCTACCAACTGAGCCAGTGTCGCCTCTGATCATTCTACACCAGTAAGAGCGAAAAATACATCCAGCAGATAGTTTTAGTGGTAATTTTAGATTTGAATTAGCAAGAATTTGTACTATAGCATAAAGGATAGGAAACAAAAATTGCAAGCATCATTTCATGTTTTGTAAAATAATTGTATCTTCGTATCAAGCGTGAAACATGAAGATGGCTCTAAAAGGCACTGGACATTCTTAACTTATTGAGCCTTCAGTATCTGAGTGAATCATACTTTCTGAGAATGGGCTGGGTCTGATTTGGGGAATTTCTTTTTATCACTAGGACTCGCAGAATTCTGAAACCTCTCCCAGAGCATTCATTTTGACTGCTTCCTGTCAAATCAATGGAATTCTGAAAAAAATCCCCCCAAAAAGCAACTTTCCCACCAAATTCTCCACAAGTTATTTATAATGTCTTTACCTTCAGTCACTTTTAAATAGTGCTAAAAAAAAACGGTTAATTTAACTTAAATATAACTATCTAGCAAAAACAGTTTGTGGAAAGGCTACGGAATGCTAACGGCTGTCACGTAAACGGTGTGTTGCTATGGTAACTAGCGCTGGCTCTTCTCTGGTGGGAAACAAAAGCAGAGCCTTTCTCAGAACCAGGACATTTCTGACCTGACACCATGACACCAGTCCCTTTGACTGCTCTAGAACTCCGCACAGTTGAAAAATAAAAGATATAATTTTATTAAAGCAATGACATAGAGAAACATTCACAAAGTTATGAAGACATGAGCTGAGTCATGACATTATTATGCTACAGTCAGGGGGTTTTGTGCATAAGTCTTGCTTCTTCATCTCACTAAAGTTAGAGATTTTTCGTTGCCTAATTATGTTTTTGAATTATGACATTTTGACCATTTGAACTCTAAAATGGCTACTCCACCTCTGCTACAGTGACCCGTCCTGCTCCACCCAGAGGCTACTCCACCTCTGCTACAGTGACCCGTCCTGCTCCACCCAGAGGCTACTCCACCTCTGCTGCTGTGACAAGTCCTGCTCCACCCAGAGGCTACTCCACCTCTACTGCTGTGACCCGTCCTGCTCCACCCAGAGGCTACTCCACCTCTGCTACAGTGACCCGTCCTGCTCCACCCAGAGGCTACTCCACCTCTGCTACAGTGACCCGTCCTGCTCCACCCAGAGGCTACTCCACCTCTGCTGCTGTGACCCGTCCTGCTCCACCCAGAGGCTACTCCACCTCTGCTACAGTGACCCGTCCTGCTCCACCCAGAGGCTACTCCACCTCTGCTACAGTGACCCGTCCTGCTCCACCCAGAGGCTACTCCACCTCTGCTGCTGTGACAAGTCCTGCTCCACCCAGAGGCTACTCCACCTCTACTGCTGTGACCGGTCCTGCTCCACCCAGAGGCTACTCCACCTCTGCTACAGTGACCCGTCCTGCTCCACCCAGAGGCTACTCCACCTCTGCTACAGTGACCCGTCCTGCTCCACCCAGAGGCTACTCCACCTCTGCTACAGTGACCCGTCCTGCTCCACCCAGAGGCTACTCCACCTCTGCACCTCTGCTGACCTGAAGGACTGTTGCTGATTATTACTATTGTTAGCTTTTTAGAATGATCAATTTTATTTTTTATTTTTGCTGCTACTGGACACCTGAATTTAAAGTATCTATCTATCTATTTATCTATCTAATCTTACACTTACAAAACTAAACAGCCGTCGTATTGACTGCTCAGGGAGTTCTCGTGTCAAGGGTGTGTAATACTATGAATATGATGAAATTGCTGATTGGTGATTCATTTTGGAGCTGTCCTGGTGAGACATCTGCTGTGTTTGCTTATTTTATTTTCTATTTAACCTTTTTCTCCTTTTGTTTTTCAGGCCCACGCTAAAGTGGTCAGTGAGGTGGATATAGACAAACTGTACATATTCTCCACGATCCATGTAGATGCCCTGAAGAGCCTGTGGAGTGATCCCGGCGTTCAGGAATGTTACCATCGAAAGAGAGAATACCAGCTCTCTGACTCGGCAAAATAGTAAGTTTCACCTGCATTGGTCAAATACACAGCCGAGCGACGAACCCCATGTGATGCTAGGTTTTACTACACAGTTACCTGGACAACCTAGACCGGATAGGGGACCCAGCCTACGTGCCCACCCAGCAGGATGTGCTCCGGGTCCGAGTGCCCACCACTGGGATCATAGAGTATGTCTTTGATGTGGAGAAAGTGGTGTTCAGGTGCAGTATTCTGTTTTTGGATTGTGAATGGCATTAGTGCTGTAACTGTGTGTGTGGGTGTGTCTGTGTGTGTGTGGGTGCGCTTACGTCAGTGTGTCTGTGTGTGAGCGTGTGTCTGTATTGTGTGTGTGTGGTTGTGTTTCGCCGAGGTTCTGTAGAGAGTGAATCGTTTAGCGTTTTGCTCAAGCCCCGGTGATCCAAGATGGCGCCCTATCCAAATGAATGGCTTGTGCTCAGTAGCGCATGGGACTTCATGGAGACTGGGAGATTAGCAGAACTCACCCATATTTGGGCAGCGTCTGGTCCTCCCGGTTCTGCGCAGTGGACGAGCTCCCATGATGATTTGTGCCAAATACGCGTGTGAGGTTTTCATGCACGTGCACAGAGGGGCTCGGCTGCGCTTTGACCAATCAGAGCGGCTGATCAGAGCAGCTGCAGAGCGGGGTCAGAGCGGGAAGGAAAGGAGCAGAGTTTGTGGAAGTAAAGTCTGGATTTAAAGAAAACACACTAAAGGGACACTAAAATCCCCACAAAATCCGATCTTTATGAAAGCTGTAGGTTCTCTGTCAGGTTCTCTCTCAGCTGGTTTAGTTTACATTGAGTTCTATGGGGCTTTTTTCTGGGTAGCCCTCGTGAATTTAGTCTGCAGTACCACAGCGCCCCCTGTGTCCATGGGTGGGACAACTGTACGCTAGTAATACTCTATCCAGTTATTATTATAGATCCATGGTTTGCTTTTTGAGGTGTGACTCGTGTGTATTTGCATGCGTGTGTACGAGTGTGTGTGTATGTGCGTGTGTATGTATACTAGGGCTGGGCAATAAATCGAATTTAGGCAATAAATCGAATTTGTGAAAAATGTGAAAATTGAGAAATCGAATGAAGGATATTGTGAGAGTTCCAGCAGCACATAAATTATACTTGTAATATCAGCACAGTCTGTACATGACTTTTATAATACGTATTGGGGGAAACAAAATAAAAATGGTTTTGAAACTTGATATTTGAGCGGGAAAACTTTAATGAAAATCGATTTAAAATTGAAATTGTCCAAAGCAGGAAATAAAATTGTGATTTTACTTTTTTGCCATATCGCCCAGCCCTAATGTATACGTCTCTGCGTGTATGTGTAAGTGTGTGTACACATCTGTGCGTGTACATGTGTACGTGCGTATGTGTGTACATCTGTATGTGTGTGTGTGTGTTTGTCTGTGCTTGTGTGTATATCTTTATGTGTGTGTGTGTGTGTGTGTGCTTGTGTGTGATTGTAATGTCTTGACTGTATTTTCTAGTTAATAAGGCAAAAAGACTGTTCTTTTACGCTAATATAACCATCAACCTGACCAGGGACAAGTAGCATTCTGGCCAAATCCTAGCATATGACAAATATTCTAATGTATATTGTAAATAAATAAACATTCCTGGAATGTTTACAGAATGGTGGATGTGGGAGGTCAGCGCTCAGAGCGGAAGAAGTGGATCCACAGTTTTCAGGACGTGACGTCGATCATGTTCCTCGCGGCTCTCAGTGAATACGACCAGGTCCTCGTCGAGTCTGACAACGTGGTAAGAAACTGCTGCCTTCAAGAATGTGTGTATTAGTATTTGTGTGTGTGTGTGTGTGTGTGTGTGTGTGTGTGTGTCTTAGTGAATACGACCAGGTCCTTGTTGAGTCTGACAGTGTGGTAAGAAACTGCTCTCTCTGGTCTCTCTCTCTGGTCGCTCTCTGGTCTCTCTCTGGTCTCTCTCTCTCTGGACTCTCCCTGGTCTTTCTCATGTCTCTCTCTCTGGTCTCATTTTCTGGTCTTTCTCTATCTGTTATCTCTCTCTGGTCTCTCTCTGGTCTCCTCATGTCTCTCTCTCTCTGGACTTTCCCTGGTCTCTCTCATGTCTTTCTGATCTCCTCTCTGGTCTCTCTCTCTCTCTGGTCGCTCTCTGGTCTCTCTCTCTCTCTGGTCGCTCTCTGGTCTCTCTCTGGTCTCTCTCTGGTCGCTCTCTGGTCGCTCTCTGGTCTCTCTCTGGTCTCTCTCTGGTCTCTCTCTGGTCTCTAACTGGTCTCTCTCTGATCTCTCTCTCTCTGGTCTCCTCATGTCTCTCTCTGGACACTCCCTGGTCTCTCTTTGATCTCTCTCTGCTCCTCATATCTCTCTCTCTCTTGACTTTCCCTGGTCTCTCTCATGTCTCTCTCTCTCTTGTATCTTTCTCGTCTTTTTCTGCTCTCTTTCTGGTCTCCCTCTGGTCTCTTTCTGGTCTTTTCTCTCCCTCAGTCCTGCCCCTCGGTGTACTCTGCAGCTGTCTTTAACCGTGTATGCATGACTTTTGACAGCTGCAGCAGCACTCAGACCTACAACCAAAAGCTTGGACATCTCTGGTCTCTCTCACTTCTCAGGTGGTTAGAAAAGTGTATAAAGTGTGTATAAAGTGTGTGAGGGTTTTACAGCCTTCAAACATACAGCTGCTGCTTCAAGGATTTTTAGAACGTAATCTGTGACAAACCAGGACCACTGTATATGAATTAAGACTACATACAAATAATAATGTATGGCTTCTTTAAATAAGCCTTTGACAACATTTTGTTTCTGTTTTTAAAGAATCGAATGGAAGAGAGTATGGCACTGTTTCAGACCATTCTGCACAGTCAGTGGTTCCTCTCTGCGTCTGTGATCTTGTTTCTCAACAAAGTCGACCTGCTGAAAGAGAAAATCATATATTCACATTTAGTGGACTATTTCCCAAAATATTGTGGTGAGTTACTGTTGTTTTAGTGCTGTTTTTCATTGACCTTATTCTATGTTGTGTTCCAGGACCAAAGCAAGACGCTAAAGAAGCAAGCGACTTTATTCGTAATAATTTTCTGAGTCTGGATCCATATCAGAAAATGATCTACTGTCACTTTACTTGTGCCACGGACACAAACAATATTAGCGTTGTCTTCAGTGCAGTGAAAGATCATATTTTGCAATCTAACCTAATATTGTACAACTTGGTCTAAAACGGCAACGGTGTAATGAGGAAGTGTTTCTAACAGTATTTTAGAGCTGTAACCAATATTTTGATATTCGATTAACACTAGGACTCCCAGAATTTTAACTACTCCCATTCAAAATACTGGAATTCTGCAAAATACCCCTGAAAATCGTCTAGTTTTCCCCCATTTAAAAAAAAAAGTAAGTAATTTATGTTTTTGTTTTTATTTTTTATTTTCACATTTACTCACTACATGCTTAAAACGTGTGAATATGACTTGAAATACAGCAACAACAGTAAGGCTATATGCTAACTGATGTGTTGCCCTGGTAACTAGCACTGGTTTCGTTTTCCACCAGTTTTAATAAAAGTAATTTATAGTTGGTTTTTTTTCAACATTTACTCACTTTTAATACATGCTAAAACTGATGAATGTGACTTGAAATACAGCAAAACAGTTTGTTGAAAGGCTAAATGCTTACTGCTAGAAAGTCAATGGTAACTATGGTAACTAGCAATGGCTCTTCTCTGTTTTAGTAAAAGTAAGACATTTACAAGGTGTTTTTTTTATATTTACTCACTTTTAACACATGCTAAAACTGGTGATACATGACTTGAAATACAGAAAAAACACCAAAAACAGTATAGCTATATGCTAACCGATAGCAAGTAAACAGTGCGTTGCTATGGTAACTAGCACTTACTCTTCTCTGGTTTCCACCAGTTTTAGTAAAACTACGTGATTTATGAGGTTTAAAAAAAAAAAATACATCTCACTACTACTACTACTACTACTCACTTTTAATATGTGCTAAAACTGGTGACTATGACTTGAAATTGAAAAAAAAAACGTTTGTTGAAATGCTAAATGCTAACTGCTAGCAAGTATATTCAAACTATGGTACTAGCACGGGCTCTTCTCTGGTTTAGTTATCAATCAGTTTTATAAGGTTTTTTTTATTTTTTTATTTTTTTTCATTTACTCACTTTTAATACATGCTAAAACTGCCAATATGTGACTTAAAAAATACAGAAAAAACATTTGTTGAAAGACTCTATGCTCACTGCTAGCAAATAAGTGTGTTTCTTTGGTAACTAGCACTGGCTCTACTCTGGTGGGTGGAACATTTCTGCTGCAGGGGGTAAAAGCGGAAGAGCATTAAAAGATAAGGACATAGAGATAAACTACATATGGAAAAAAGTCACAAAGTTATAAATTGTTCTGGGAGTCCGCGTGTTAGTCTAGTCAGTATTCTTTGATTAATCTATTACCGTTCTTGCTGGACTAATGCCTGCTCCTTTTTCAATGTATTTAAACCCTGGAGTCTGTATAGCGATCTACTTTTCATTTTGAAAGTCTGTCCTTTATGTTGTTTAGAATCTTATTTTGGCTCCATTCAAGTAGTAGCAGAAAATGGAAGCACGGTCAAGTCCAGCAAGTACTGTAGTAGTTTGGAACATACTGTAGGTAAAATCATTTCAGTTTAAAGTAAAGCCACCAGAGGACACTATTATAAGACTAATCTTGTATTACACTTTAAAGCACGTCTACGAGTTTTCGATTGTAACTGTAACTGGTTTTTACAACTTAAATCTTTGTGTGTTTTGCTGGTGACTGGGGCGCGAAGCTCTCTAGAATTTAATTTCAATTTATTTATTTTCACCACGGACTCTTTGTGAAAAAAATGGACGCTCCCAGGAAGCAGTGTAAAATCCGGGGTCTCGAGCTGTAACCGCTGATTCAGACATTTTCTAATTTTGTGTTGTGTGTTAAAATGACATGTCTCAAATAATAAATGTGTTGAAGTTTGTACAAAGATTATTGAGAAAACTTGGATTATTTGTGAATCGCTCAGACAATTGCTCAAAATTACATTTTAATTAGAATAAAAAACATTGTCACACTTTAGTGTGAAAGTAAATGTGCACTTTATTCATCCCCATAGGCCCAGGGTAATTCATCCTCTGCATTTGACTCATCCCGATGCCAGTAACTCTTCAGTATAATTACTTAGTCAATGTAGAATTACATTGCTTTTGTTTTGTTTTCTCATTTTGAAACGTCCAAAATAAAAACATTCATCATCATCATCATAATTAAGTGCTAATTAGTGTATAATATATTGTAAATCAGCCCTTACTGGTATTTATTAAGTGCTTTTTAGTCCTTATTCTTACTGACACTTGCCCATTAGGGTACATTAATCAACCCCTAATTATCTGTTAATCAGTGAGGGCTAATCTAACGTGTTACCAAAATATTACACAAAATATAAAAAAAATACATTTAAAATATTACAATGAACACGCCAATTTAAAAAGGTAGGTTTTGAGTTGCCTAAATTAAAAATAGAAATTTTACCCAAATGTCTTTCTTTTTCCGTGTATAAGGTTTTTGTATTTACTCACTTTTATTCAGTGTTGTATAGACAGTGAAAATAAACTATATATACAGAAAAAAATGTACATGAGCTGTACTGTACTTTCTGGACTACAAGGCGCACCTGTATGTAAGCTTTCTCCACATAGAGGCTGCATTTGAAAATAAGCCGCAGGTTTCATGTTGTAATGTAACAGATATGAATCTTTTAACTGGTCACAGCATGATTTAATGACAAAGTGTTTAACAGCTTAACGTTAGCTTAACTGTTAGATTCCATGACTCATTTACCTCAATCTATTCTGACAATAAACCAGTGTCCTATAGTTATTAAAACTTAATAGAGTCAAAATAATAATAAGTTAAATTAAGTTTGCTTTGTCAATTCCTGTAAAAATCACTCCCTGTAAATTTCAATGTTTATCGCTCAAAATCACAAACTACTGGATCAGAGTACAACTGTTTCCATAGTTACCAGACTATGAACCACTACTTTTCTTCATGACCCATATAGTGATGTGGCCAATGCAAGGTACAGTATGTATTTTTATTTTGTTAAGACAAGATTTAGACACAGCCCTATCCGCGGCTGATCTTGAAAGTGAATGACGTGGCACACCTTCCAGCTGCCGGTGAGTTTAACCACGAGAAGTTTACGAGACGAGGAGAAGAAGTGTGGGGGAATACCTATGATATTTTCTGTCTATGCGGAAAACACATGACTGGTTTTTATGTCATTAGCTGGCTTTGAATGCATCATCTTGAGTAGAGCAGAGTATATAGTAGAGTAGAGTAGAGCCAATTAGAGTAGAGTAGAACAGAATATAGAGTAGGGTAAAGTAGAGTTGTGTCGAGCCAAGTAGAGTAGAACAGAGTAGAGAAGAGCCAAGTAGAGTAGAGCCAATAGAACAGCGTAGAGTAGGGCCAAGAGTAGAGTCAAGTAGGGCTGGTGGAAACAGGGCTCTGACATAGAGAAGAGGAGAGCCTAGTAGAGTAGAGCCAAGTAGAGTAGAACAGCGTAGAGAAGAGCCAAGTAGCCCTGGGGTTTGTTCTGTTTATTCATCCATATTTTCTCCTCTTCACAGAAAACACGACCGTTCCCAACCTCAACGAAGTCAAAGAGAACATGACCATGGGAACCACGCTGGTGACCAATCCCAATGGAGGATTTCTGGTAGGATGGAATTTGCACTTTGAAAAAATAAATGCTCTTGATATTCTCTGTGCCAAAAACAAAAGGCAGAGTATTTTTAGTGTTTAGTGCGGACCTTTGGACGGAGCCGGTCCCTCTGTGGTTATGAGAAAGTTCTGTACATGTGTACCCTCTCTGCATCCGTTTGTGTAAAGCAGGTTCTGTATTTGTAGGCGCCAGTTTGTGTTATTGCTGCAACTCCATCAAATAGTCATTAATTTAACCTTTTTTATATTCTTGGTATGTGTCTAATCAAAGCACTTTGAAATTCAAAAACTAATATTGTCTTTCAATTGTTTGCAGCTGCATATAGAGAAGTGGTCAAGAGCCAAACCACTCGGAGCTACAGCAATTTATGGCTTTAGATTCCATTACTTAAAGCTGCCCTAACTGACTTTATTTTTGTATTCATTACGAAAGTTCAGTCCTTATCCATGCAGTGCATTGGGATATACGTCCTTTTGAAGCGCAGATTTGTGCTGGTGTGATTTTATATTAGATCGAGTTTTTGTGAAACAAGGAAGAGAAAGTGTTTCAGGTCCAGAATGTGACCAATCACAGCGGACCACTGGCCCCCACTTTCTTGAGAAAAGCCACAGGTCTGTGGTTAGCACAGACAGCTGAGGTAAACAAGCGACAGAGGCTAACCTGAACCTTCCCGTGTCTTCGTCACCGGTTACTGCTTACACAGTGAAACAGCCAAAAGAAAGTCTCGTTCTTCCGCGCTTCCTGGTTCAGTCATTCTATGGTCACGCCATCCATGTTCAAATGTGCGATCCATATTGTGAGACATGAGCTCCGTAAACAATTAGCATGTGAGTGCAGGCTGAGGGGGCGGGGGTAGTGGGGGGCGAAAGCTCCGTGCGGGGAGGGCGAGCAGAAAGAGCGAGCTCGGCGTTCTGATTTGAAAATTTCTCAAAGTCAGTTAGTGCAGCTTTAAAGCTGGGGTACCTAATCTATGTATGGAATATACACAATGCCATGTAAAATCCATTACATTTACTACATGCTAACTGCTGCAGGTAAACAATGGGTTGCTATGGTAACTAGGATTTGCTACCAGCTCAGCCCGGAACCAGTCGAGAACCAGTGTCCAGGACCAGCGAGAGAAAAGGGGCTTTAATTGCCACGCAAACACTTGAATTATATATTTGAATCATATTTTAATCAGTCAAAATGACTTAAAGGTAAAGGTTCAAAAATAAAAAATGATTTCATAAAGAATAATTACATAGAAACAAATGACATTGAAGCATTATTTTAACAATGCTTCTATGTCAGACAGAAAAAGTCATGAAGACCAAAAGTGTGCATAGGCAGAGATAGAGTTGAGATGCTAAAACCCGTCAAATTGACTGCTCCCTGTCTTTGCCTACCCCTCCTGTGCCTACCCCTCCTGTACCTGCCCCTCCTGTACCTGCCCCTCCTGTACCTGCCCCTCCTGTACCTGCCCCTCCTGTACCTGCCCCTCCTGTGCCTACCCCTCCTGTACCTGCCCCTCCTGTACCTGCCCCTCCTGTGCCTACCCCTCCTGTACCTGCCCCTCCTGTACCTGCCCCTCCTGTGCCTACCCCTCCTGTACCTGCCCCTCCTGTACCTGCCCCTCCTGTACCTGCCCCTCCTGTACCTGCCCCTCCTGTACCTGCCCCTCCTGTGCCTACCCCTCCTGTACCTGCCCCTCCTGTACCTGCCCCTCCTGTACCTGCCCCTCCTGTGCCTGCCCCTCCTGTGCCTGCCCCTCCTGTGCCTGCCCCTCCTGTGCCTGCCCCTCCTGTGCCTACCCCTCCTGTACCTGCCCCTCCTGTACCTGCCCCTCCTGTACCTGCCCCTCCTGTGCCTGCCCCTCCTGTGCCTGCCCCTCCTGTGCCTGCCCCTCCTGTGCCTGCCCCTCCTGTGCCTACCCCTCCTGTACCTGCCCCTCCTGTACCTGCCCCTCCTGTACCTGCCCCTCCTGTGCCTGCCCCTCCTGTGCCTGCCCCTCCTGTGCCTGCCCCTCCTGTGCCTACCCCTCCTGTACCTGCCCCTCCTGTACCTGCCCCTCCTGTGCCTGCCCCTCCTGTACCTGCCCCTCCTGTACCTGCCCCTCCTGTACCTGCCCCTCCTGTACCTGCCCCTCCTGTACCTGCCCCTCCTGTAGGCGTGTGGGCCTCAGTACGGCTACATGTGCGGCCAGCAGCAGTACATCTCAGGGGTCTGTGCCAACGTCAGCTCTTCCTTCCAGATCCTCAACTCCATAGCTCCCGCGGTGCAAGGTAGCAACACAACAGCTCACAAATTACACACAACAGCAGGACGTGACGCACAAACACATGAACTGTCTCAGGAATAGAGGAGATAAGGATCATGACAGCGGCAGCAGCTCCGCCCAAAGGACATGAAATAACTCAACCTTTACACGCATTCTTCTTCATGTAAACTTGTGCGTGACCCTCCTGCTGATTCTCCTGCTGATTCTCCTGCTGATTCTCCTGCTGACCCTCCTGTTGCTCCTCCTGCTGCTGCTCCTTCTGCTGCCTCTTTTGGTCCTCCTGCTGATCCTCCTGCTTCTCCTCCTGCTGAATGCCCAAGTTTGGAGGCAGGGGACTCTCTCTGTGTGTGTGTGTGTCTATCTCTGTGTGTTGTCTCTCTCTCTCTGTGTGTGTGTGTGTGTGTGTGTGTGTGTGTGTGTGTGTGTGTGTGTGTGTCTCTCTGTGTTGTCTCTCTC